TGCAATCCTAAGAAAAAAGAACAAAGTAGGTGGGATCTCAATACCAGATATCAAGCTGTATTACAAAGCCATTGTTCTTAAAACAGCTTGGTACTGGCACAAGAACAAACATATAGATCAATGGGATAGAATAGAAAACCCAGAAATCGAACCAAAACCATCAACAAAACAACAAGAAAGCCCACTGCATGGGAGAACGTATTTGCCAACAATATCACCAATAGGGGTTTAATCTCCAACATTTACAGGGAACTCATGCAACTCAACAAAAGGAAGATAATCCAATCAAAAAATGGGCAACGGACCTAAATAGACACTTTCTGAAAGAGGACATACAGAAGGCCCAAAGACATATGAAAACATGCTCAAAGTCACTAATCATCCGAGAGATGCAAATCAAAACGACAATGTGTTATCATCTCACACCTGTCAGAATGGCTATCATCAACAAATCAACAAACAACAAGTGTTGGAGAGGATGTGGAGAAAAAGGAACCCTCGTGCATTGCTGGTGGGAATGCAGACTGGTGCAGCCACTGTGGAGAACAGTATGGAGTTTCCTCATAAAACTAAAAATGGAACTCCCATTTGACCCAGTGATCCCACTTCAGGGACAGACCCAAAGACAGAGAAACAGCGATCAGACTATCAATCCCCAGAGGGAAAGTAGGTGAGGGTGGGGGTAAGGGGAAGAGATCAACCAAAGGACTTGTATGCATCCATATAAGCCAAACCAATGGACATGGACAACAGGTGGATGAGAACATGAGTGGGGGGGAGGTTGGGGGTTAATGGGGAGATGAGGACACATTTGTAATACCTTAACCAATAAAGAAATTAAAAAAAAATCCTTGCTTTTGATTGCTAAGCCCAGTATATAGAATCACCCAATTAAAAACATTCTCAGAATCTGCAGGGGATAGTTGTTTTTGTGTAACCTGGGGATTAGAGCAGGGAGAAATGATCAGAAAACCAGCTCTGGGGCAGTACATACCCGCAAACCAGTACTAAGTGCAGGAGGGAAACTTCTATAACATTTAAAATATATGTATATAATAGAACACATTTATTAATTTTTATTTGAAAAAGCTTTCCATGTGATTTCAAGTATATTAGATTGGCCTAATTTAGGTCAAAAATATTTTTTTTTTAAAAAAAAAGAGAGAATAAACCCTTGAATCATTCCAATACCCTTGAAATGTCCCAAAGCTATCTCTCGGTTAAAGTCTTAAAATTTAACTTGGAAAAACTATCAGATATACATAACCCAAAGATTATATTACATACTTTTTGTAATTATTCTAAAATACATCAATTAAATTTAAGTCCGTTTTAATATTAAAAATTTGGTTCAGACCATAGAATTAATCCTTTTTTTAATCAGGCCAATGAAATATTATATCCTAGGTTGAAATTTTACCCCATGTAGTACACAGACACACATACACATAAAGACTACAATATATTTTGAACTACTAATTTTTCCAGAGAAAACACAAGAGTTATTTTTCTCAAAAATTAATTGCTATATTTATGTATTCTGTTATCCCAACTATATAATTTCTTCCAACTTAATTTTAACTTTTAACTCTTAGAAGCTCAAATTTTAGGTGGCAAGTTAAATATTAGCATTTCTTATTAACACATTTTGTACCACATAGAAATCTCTAAGACATACGCCAGAGACCGCACATTTTTGGGCAAACTGCACATTATTTAAATAATCATAACTACAGATCATAATGCACTTTAGGTGTTGTTTTTCAATAATTATGACATTTTTATTTACTTAAACAATTAAACAATTAAAGTTCCTAGTACTTTTTTACTGTATGGTACTGCGTTAAACATTTTCCTCTATGAAGAGGAACCAAACAAAATTTACATAAGCATCTAGATTTGCTCCTTTTTCCTTGGGCGGCACAAACTCTGCAGGCTCTCGTAGGAAATTTTTTCTTTCCACTCGCTGGAATACACGTAGGTTCTGAAGGGGCGAGGGCTGTGTCCTCCATCTTACCCTGTGTCCCCATGTGCTCAGAGAGGCACCTTCTTCCCGGAAGCCCAGGCCTCTGCTGGCCACGCCCGGGATTTTAAACTAACCAATGACAATCAAGGGACGTGCGCGCCAT